AAAAACTCGATCGTTTGCACATGGCCTCGTTTTACTGGACTCCCTGACTTGCAGGGCTAGTATTACAAATTGTAACGGGTGTGGAAATCTGACCGCGCTGTACCTGCCAGGCAAAATGGACGTGTCAATCCGATCCGCTGTAGACCGCAAGTGTCATGTTGGAACAGAGTAAGAAGCGTAAACTTTAGGGTTCAACAGAAGCATGGACCCCCAAAAAACAGTGGCTACCTCCTATTCTTAGACTTGTTCTTCACTGACACAGCCGCTCTGTACTCGTTTCTCGAAACAACTGTTCTCGTGGTCCGCCTCTGGAAGGTCCGTTGAACAACGAACAGCTTGGGGCGTCCAAGCAAAGGATTCAGCTCAGCTTACGTGATCTTTGTTGATTCGGATTCATGAGGATTCAACAACTTCTTTGTCTCAGTTGCTTCAAAATGCTGTACAATGATTAGGTTCAGCCCCTCCCCATTGGTTGATACAGCATGCTGGGCCCATGCAACCCGCTGTTTTAATCACCGTGCCAAAGCCCACCGACATCGTAGAACCGATGAGAGGTGATGTCTCATTGCTTGCATTGGGGTGGTTGAAAAAAGGGTCAATGTAGGTATCTTCATATACAGTGGGGTCAGAGCAGCAGTCCCCAATGTCGGTGGTTTATATGGACTCCCATCTAGCAAACGTGTAGGGGTGCCAGTGCCATCTACTAGTACTCTGAAACCGCTGTACTAGCATATGCCAGTCCCTTGGAGTGTCTGGGGAAGTCCGGGGGGGCGACCCGGTTCTAATAAACACATCGAGGGAAACCTCATGAAGCCGCTTTTTTTTCAAACGGCCTGTTCTGCCAATGAGCAACCCCCAGCGCTCCCAAGCCGGAGATCCCTGGAAACTGCCGGAGATCCCTGGAAACTCACGGATTTCACCATTGTTTTTTTCACCCATATATCCGCTGACCCCAGTCGTATACAGGTTTGTTGTTGCTTCTTTTGTTTTTTTTACCGGTTCAAAATTAACAACCACCCCTCGCCTCTCCCTTTCCCTTCCTTCCTCTTCCCTGGCCGGCTGTCGGGAATGGATTTGAGTGGAGAAACCAATCCTCCAAAACGGTGAAGAGGTTACCCACTTTTCCTGGGTAGGGATTTCTTTGGGGGAAACCAGGTATGCCGTTATGCCAGCAGTTGTGATCAGCCTTGTTTCTCACACTGACCCCCTGAGCTCCAGAACTGTTGGCTTCACCGCCGATCTCACGAAGTAGCCAAGAGGTGCAGGAGAATCTTAGGAAGTTGACAGCCAGCCAAGCGGTACTGATGTGCACATGAGAACATGCTAGTCGACACGTTGAGGTTGCTGAACTGATTTCGACCATGCATATACCAGGAGTCACGTTCGACGGGGTGGTGGCTCGTCCCATCCAGTGAGTGGATGTGACAGGGGCACCCCAGGGTTTCATTAAGCACCCCTTTGTGACTGCTGGTAGAGACATGTTCTAAACATGTTTTAAGTCAGTTGTGAGGTTGACAGGACCTCAGGATTCTGAACTTGTTCTGCAGGATTCGGAGAAATGGACACGTCGAGGGCACCCCCATCCACAGGGATTGGCCCTTACTGTGATCGTCGGGTGAGTCTTTTCTATTTGACAGCTCTATTATTTTGGCCACCAGCGCTATCTATTGCTGCGTAGACATCCTCAAATTTAATAATTCAACCAGGTAAAACCCCTTCACGAATTGACAACGCCTTTACCGAGCCCCTGAAAACCCCACGCTTCAAATACCAATCCTCAAAACAGCTTCCCTCAAACGACCGTTTTCGACCAGCCGACTCACCAAGACAATGGATGTCAGACCTGATCAAAAGAATCTACAGTCTCAGAGTAGATGGCACCCGACTTCTAGACAGGGGATCCACTACTAAACCACCGACCTTGGGGTAACTTGTGCCATTTCTCACCTCTCAATCCACTATACGGGGCCACCCAAAGACTCCATCGGCATCCAACGCGGATCAACGCGGCCGCCGCGGCCTACGTCGTTGATTTGAGGTGTCAATGAAGTGACATATATTCCAGTTCCATTTGGCGTGTCTGGTGTCTGGGAATTGGCTGTACACGACCCTCGCCAGGGTCTTCCCTCATACGCACCAATCAAGCAACCAGTAGTGCACCAAGGCCCTCCTCATGCACCAAGGCAATCCAAGGCACATACTGATATCCGCTTTCAGAAGCTCCGGGATCGCCAGCGACTGGCAGCAGGAAGCGAGCTCGGTCTCCAGTGGCATTTTTCGCTCTGTTTGGAAATCTCTTGGGGTTTGGAGAAGATGGAATCATCTGTATGGGTGTTACTTTGGGTGTACAGAACTGACCATCTCCCAGGAGGACATCGGCCATCTCAGACGGCCGCCCTTTTTTCTGGAGGGAGACCCCATTGGTGACCTGTGATCGGCTCCTGAAAATGCCGCTTCAATCAAGTATGTACAATGTAGTATAGATCATAATATTAGTAGATCGTAGTAAGATTTAGTAGTATATCGCGCCTCTAGAATTCTGAAACGACCACCAAGTTGGAAGAGTTCTCCATGCAACAAACAACTCTTAAAGTTTGCATGAGCATGCAAACACGCGGAGCTTGATGGAGAAAATCCAGGCGTTGTTACAACATGAGTAAAAAAGGGTGTATACTGGACTATAGAACAAACGCAGAAAGACCCAAAAAGGATCAAAGAGACCTAAGCCTAAGATGGTCTAAGTATATATATATGTGGCATATGGCATATGGCTTGATTTGTGGTGCGGTTTGTCGGGTTCTAGTTCTGACCCAGCATCATGCGGTTGGTCGGGGTGCGGCACCAGAATTGCCAGAGCATGTAAGGCTGCTGAGATGTGCCTACTTTGCATGCAATGTAGAAATTGTATGAATACTCATTGCATCTCCCCGTAATTCTACAAGTACAAAGCATACTGAGTACTGTCTGTAACCATACCGTAACCACACAACTGTGCCACACAACCAACGGTTTCATCAGAAAAACCCACCAAAGTCACCAAACACCAGCCGCCGCCGTGGAGAGGAACCCGCGTCGACCGTCCGTTCCCTGCGGAACTCACCGTGGCGGTCACCGTCCGCGGTCCGTCGTCGCTCGCGAGGACTCGGCCTCCACCAAGGGCTTCGCGGAGTAGGGCACCGAGCCGTTGGGTGGATAAAGCTGGCGTTCATCGATCCTGGCGCCGGTGGTTTTTCGACGGCGGAACCGGTGGAAGGCGGTGGCGGTGGCCGGAACCAAGAGAGGAAAACCCAGATTTGACCAGGAGAGGGAAGCAAGGTCTGTTGGAGAGCATCCATGAGGTTTCTGAGGTCTTCGGTTCGAAGTATGAACAACATGTCCAAACCCAAAGGATGAAGAAAACATAAGAAAACGTCTTGGACAATTTTTGATGCACATGTTGGGCTCTATCCCTTCAAGTAAGCAGCTGCACTGTAACTCTGGGCCTCCTCTATGCTTTGTTGGGTGGTGTCCGAACCTCATTCAACTGCCCAATGTTGTCTCAAAATCCTCAACATCCTCCTTAATTAAGGTTCCAAAGCGATGAAATGATTCATGTTGTCGTCTAAAACTCATACAGTAACCGTCAAGGCCCAGTTCTCCTGGACATCACACCATTCCATCAACGATGAACCAACCCATGTTCTCCTGCCGCCTCTCTTCGGCCTGGCCACGGTTTCCACGGTTTACCCCCACCCAGTCGTCCCACGCTCCTCAAGGCCATGCAGGGCAAAAAAAAGGCCAACGCCAAAGAGTATGACCTCACGGCGAGGAACGATGTCTGATCATCGATCTGAGCTGTTTTCAGACTCCAAGCTGTATCCAGAAATGAAGATGAACCTGTTTCCACCGGTCAGGTACCTCACTGTACTGTGTATATTGATTCAGATTCATTGCAATTTATGATCTTGGTGGGGAAACCAATCCCCAACAAAGTTATAAAGCTCGTCCACTTTGGAGTCCTGTGTCAGGCAGATCCGGGGTCCACTCAGCCAGATCGTGATTGGTCACTGCTTTCGTCCAGAGTATACAAAGCAAATCTGAAGAAGAAAAACACATATGCCCTGCCCGCTAGGCAAATCGTTTCCAAAACAGTTCTTCTTATGTTTGTTTCACCCCAAGCGTAATATTACGCGGCTATACAAGTAGCATGCACTTCCCACATTATTCGGTCTCTTCTCCCCCGAAATCTCCCAGGTTGGATTTGGAGCTTTTCGCAAAGCTCCGAGGCACAAAAGCCACGCAAAGCACCGTGGTGACCCGCCGCAGCATGGACGGACTGCACCAGGGCGTCCTGGTCGTGAGAAGCGCAGCGCGGGGCAGGGATGACCGGATGACCTTGGGATGGATACCTTTGAGGCGTGAAGGCGCTGCGTGTGGGCCCTGCACATTCTGGGGAGAGGCAAGAGAACATGAAGTACAGCGGCCGAGATCAAGATCTGTATGTACGATAACTTGGATGCAAGGAAAATGCACCAGCACAGCGGCGAAGGGTGGAAGGATGGTGATGGGGCAAACACATCACATACCCTGACACGACCAGTCTGGGACTGGCATAGATTGACGGATCAGTTGGGGAGTAAGGAATATTTACTCAACTAACATCTTAAAAACCATCCCCAAGGATTCCAGTCTCATGGATTGTTTGGAATAGTTAGACAAAGTCGAGTCATAGCCACACACACATATGTGGCTACACACCTTCTCCGAGTGGGGAGTGGGAATCGAGTGGTACATGTCTTCTTCCCCATCTGGTGCATGTGTTCCGTCCACGGATCCGTCCTGGAAACCACGCCCAGGAAGAACCAAAAAACAAAAAACAAAGGTAAACAATGGCAAATGGCATATTCGGGCTTCACCGGTCAGGTGCATCTTCATATAGTCATCTTGATGCTTTTGGAGAAGCAAACAAACAAGAACAAAAAACACAGGTTAAACTGGTAAACAGTTCTTGACCGGACAAATCTGCTCCAGTTCCCCACGCTGGTCTGTTTCATCCGCGACGGCCCAGTCAGTCTCAGCCGAGCTGTGTCCCAGCCCTTTGGCATAAATCAGTCTCTACAAGTCAATGACCTGTACTGAAGTTGGCTCAAGAATTTAAAATAAAGGACCAGTTTGTACTGGGTCTTTGGAGTTGTAGGGGGTTCTTTCCTCGCCTGGCACTCGAGTTGGGTAGCTCCGGCAAACGGATTCCCAGAGACCTAGGAGGCGAGATGGAGCGATTCTTCCACGCAAAGCAACCTGAGAGATTGGTGCGTTCTTAGGAGATTTGGGATCTGAGGGCCTGAGGGTCGGAGAATCAACTTGGCTGGTGATCCAGTGATGGTCGGAATGTGGAGGAATCCACCTTCCCATCGATTTGAATTGAAAAAGCTCGTCTGATTAAGGGTTTGATTCATGAATCAAGAGTCTATACTCTCCATAATTCCAGATTGCATAATATATTGCGTATATGATTGCATTTGTTTATAACAACACAGCACAGCACCAACTGAAAGGGTGTTGTTGGTGTCTTGTTTTTCACACTAGCGCTACCATCCCATGGTCACACCGCCGTCCTCTCTTCCGTTCTCGTCTCGCTCGTGCGTCGTAAGGTGCGAGATGGTGGAGCAAACGCAAAAGACGCTGAAGCAGGAGAAGCCGATGTCCAGCTTCCTAGGGCGTCCAACGATGGAAGGCCATGGAAGGCCTGCTGAACGCTGAGGAAGGAGAAAATCGTGGATTACTTGGTCCGATTGACTCTGAGGAGTTGGTGGCAAAACATGACCATTCCAACATATTCCAAATAGCCTGGTCACAGGAAAATGCCCACGTTGGGGTGTCCCAAGCACATCGAAGAATCTGGTCAATGCAGTCCGAGGTCTGTAGGTAGTAGGTCCGTCACCCATTGCAAACCTGGGCCATGTCCACCTGCAGGCCATCCGGTTTCCGGTTTCCAAGTGCTTCCACGTCTGCGGGCCCGATCTATCCCCACACCTCGTGGTCTTTCCGGGTCAACGACCGCCATCGTGTGCCCCGCACAGTGCGGGTTGCCTGGTCCCACGTCCCGGCCCGGGAAGACCTGAAACTTCAGCCCCTGCTCAACCTGCAGATGCTGCACGAGTCTAAAAGAAGGGGCATTTGCTACAAGGGATTGATCTTCACACAGACTCAAGCCAGTGGAATAAACGTGAGGTGGAGAAGTGACCAACAACAACACACAAATGTATATATATATATTTATATATTCTTTAGGGTCCTGCGGTACTAAGTGGCCCAGCCAAGCCACGGACCAAGCAAGTGCATTGAACCATTTTTACTTCAAAAAGACCGCTTTCTCGCGTGGCGACCAGGAGTGTAGGGCACCCTGCGGCACCGGGTGGTGTACTTTGGGAGAACTGGTGAGGGACGTAGTGGGCAATAGGAAAACAGGAGGATAATGTCCTCCACAAATTCTCAGGCTTTTAGCTTTGTTCGCCAAGGAATACACACAGTTTCGCTGTACATAAACGATATTAAATGGATGCTGATGCATCAAATCAATTCTCAAGTAATTATTCTCAAGTTGTTCACATCCAATAGATTCCAATAGTATCTCCGTGTATCTTCTGTGACATCCGCACTAGGACACTGTCCAAGTGTCGCAGCAGTGAGGATAAGGGAGCCATTGTCCAAGAGCCGCACCAAATGGACCAACAAGATGTAGGCAAACATGTCTGGGCCTCAAACAACAATGAATGGTCTGGCCATGGGTAACAAAAATACTCAGCGTGCCAAGTACTCTTGGGGCTTTGGTTGCAGGAGGATGGGCAATCAAGAACGATTCAATAAGCTTCTAGCTTGAAGCATCACCCTGGGTCTCAATATCATCTCTGCTCAGATTCTCATGGGAGGTTGCTAGAAAAATGAGGTTTTCTTGGTGCTTCCCTACTCCAAAACCTCCGACTTCCAGGCATCCATGCCCTCTTCACTCCACTTCGACCAGCCGAACCCACCCGCCGGGGTTCGATGAAGCCGCCAGCGACCCGCTTCGACCCGTTGTTCGACCCAGAAACACGCCCACTTGGAGATGCTCTGGACGACAAGGATGCACGTTCGTGAGATCATCACCTCAACACAAACCCTGTGACATCCAGACTGGAATAGGCCTAGCTCCTGCCTACCACCCCAGTGGAGGCAAGCATGGCAGTCCCACAATGGAGTGCTTGGGGAAAATATTGAAGAAAAGCCACTGCTGAATGCAGAACAAGCGAAATTCTGGTGTGCTCTTCTTATCAAAGCGACGCCCACTCATCACCCCTCTTATTCGAAAGGGTGTCTTCAAAGTAGGTCCAGGTCTTGTAGACTGGAATATTTGCCGATCTCTTAGGTGATTTTAAGATGTCTATCCGGGTCAATGTACGATAGACATTCCAGTCCCAGGCCTTTTTGTCGGCGACATGTGGCAACATGTTTCTTCGTTTTAACCTTTCAGCCTGCCTTTCTTGCCATACCTGCAGGTAGTACTCAGAAGGATCCGTAGAGGTCTATCCCGATTCTCGTCCCATGTGCTGCTCGAACACTAGTCGAATACAGTCAGGTACTCTTTGTGAAGGCTGGGCCCCATTGTAAGTAGTCTTTGAGGTATTTCGGAATGAAAAGCAATGGCACAACTTGAACTCAAATGACATGTGAAGAAGAGGCTCCCTCTTCCAAGCATCATTTCCGAGCACAACCATTCAGCGTCCAGCTAGCAAGGGAGCAAATCGTGTAAAACCCCCTGTGTTCATCCTGAAGAAAGACCTCAATTGGGCTTGGAGCACACCTAGCACACCTCACTCTATTATGAGCCTCATATGAGACTCATATGGTTTTGGGTGTTGTGCCAGTTCGTCTCATCAAAAAGGATTCAAGAAAGGCTCAGACCTGGTACCTTCACCGCTCCTCGGGCGGGTGGTTCGCAACCTGGAAGAGCTCAGTTCTGAGCTACAGGCTCACCGAAGAGCCATGAGAGGTTTGCTTTTTTGTGGATTCCTTGTACTGGGTCCAAAAGCACTTCTTGGATCATCCATGCAACAACTGGTCACTTGAAAGGGTTTGTTTTCTGTTGGTTTTCCTTTGTTGGATGCTCATTCCTTACAAAACATAGACATAGCCACAAATCAGGAGGCACAAATACAAATCCCTCCTTTGGGCTGAGGAGATTGTTTTTGCATGTTACTGCATGCTCTTTTCGATGATCAACCCAAGTCACGCACCCACGTGCACTGGAATACCTGCACAGGCCGCTTTTTCGGATAACGCATGCCATTTCACTCTTTGTCATGCAGTGTGCAAAGAAGGGGTCTGGACGAAGGATGGCAGATCGGGATCCAAATCTTCCAAGAAATTAAACCTCTCGCATGGCAGAACCGTGTCTGTGTAAGACATGTGCAAGAGAACCGTGCCAATCCAAAATCACCCGAATCAAACACACCATGGCAATCCACAGTTTCACCGAGCTCATCAGAAACGCTTGGCCTCTCAGAGGGTGTTCCTGAAAAAACAAGAGTTGCCCAACGACCACCGTCATGGGCTTCAAACGATGTTCGCCTGCGATGTCCATGACTCTTGACCCATCTAACGATGTTCATCCATGCTCCATGTCGTGCCGAAGTTGGAGAGTTTTTTGGGGATGTTCATGGATGTTCCATGTCCCTCTCCATCCACTCACCTTGGTCCAAAAAGCCACCTTAAACATCGAACTCCTGGGACTTTAGGAATCTGTTGGCATCTCAGCATCTCATCACAGTGAAACACTGGTGTTTTTTTTCCGACGCTTTCGTCAAAGGTCGGTGGTCGTTTTTTGATTTTTGATTGAAAAAGTAAGGCGCAAAAAGGCAAAAGAATCGAGTCAGTCTCCAACATGAGTCCAATCCTCAAAAAACATTGAGAATTCTGCAGAATAACTATCTTAACACGCATTGCTATAGGCTATAGAATTCAAAATTTATCCTTCATTGACTATTGACTCTCCAGGCCGCCCAAGGACTCAAACTGGGTTATCAATCTTGGAAACTGCTTGCACTCAGCAACAGTGGATCATCACAATGATATTATGCTCAAATCTCTCAAGGTTAAGTTGTTGAGTTCCTCAGTTCAGCTCAGGAGATAGGTCCTACAACCCGAGTTCTCGATCTCCCCGAGTTCCTCCCATCCATGTCCCGTCGGGTCCACATCAATCACCTGCCCGATCGCCTGAAGGCCTCCCCGAGCGCCAGCAGCAGCAACTTCAGGATGGGCACCACGACCGCATAGAGCACGATGAGCACGGCCCCCGTCCTGTGCTTAGAGCACCGGACTGGTGAACCCCCGCCCAAGCTGCCCCATCCCGGTCGGTGATGGAGGGATCGGTTCAGAACTCGGTGTTCACCGGGTTTAGAACCGGGCGAGGATCCAAACCCAAAGCCATCTGGAACCAACATCGGCGTGAGAACCCGCAGGACGGACTCGTCCGCTTTGTGGGCGTGGGATGCTTTTCACCAGGTCCTCCTCGGTTCACGTTAAACCAGGTCCTCCTCCACTGTTTTGAAGTGATCAAACAGTTGGTGGGGAAATGTTTCTGGTACACAGTATACAGTCCAACATGTATACAACATCTTCCCTTCCACATCAACATGGCTGGAGTTGGAGACCAGGTGAATCCTCTGCTGTCCCAAACGATCGTCTCCAACCAACCCTCCCCTTTCGTCGAATGGAAGTCGCATCGATCCAGGGGACCGGTCAACTATGCCTATACAACTGGTCAACTATGGCAGCCACCCCAACTGGTCAACTATGGCATTTGTCAGACAGGTCGTATCGACTTTTACAAAGGTCGTGTCGTCCCCCAACTGGTCAACTACCAAACATCGCGACCACCCAACGACGCTTTTCGACGCTGAGAACGATGCTGGCACCGTCGCCTGGATCCGGTGCGGTTCAGCAACTCCACCAGGCCAGTGATGGTCTCGGTGCAGGCGACGTGGCCCTTCTCCGGCTGAACGTCGATGCGGTGCCCTAAGACCTCAGCAAGAAGAGGTCCGGCGACCGAGTGACTGGTAGAATCTGGACATGGAATCCGAAATATATTGATAGTACTTAGAATTGGGGTCCGGTCTATCCCATGCAGTGGATGATGGTGAGGTTTTGTTTCTCTAAGATGCTGATAATTGCTTACCGTCGGTTACAGTACAGGTAATGGCAATGGCACAAACCCTAAGATATATAGATTGGTTCCAGTGAGTATTGGTTTTCAAACATACGACGAGTGGAACATGCCACTTTGATCTAAACATATATATCTAAATCTAAACCATGTAATGTAATAAACCCCCATACGAAAAGGTTCTACAATCTACCCTTTCTCACCGACTGGGTCTGTCATGATCCAGTCTGTCCCCGGTGCTCACGGCACCAGCCGGTCTGGATCCACACTGCCGTTCAATCCCAAAATGAGCTTCGCCAAGCGGCGTTGACAACGATGTTGAAGCTGAAAATCACTTGCGTCAAGCCAGGAACCAGCAAGACCTCGAGTTTTTGCGCTGAACAGGGGTGGGATCTACTACGGCTGGCTTGAAACGTGCCTGTTCATATACGGACCGTGTCGGAAACAAAAAAAGGGTTCCCGGATACCCCTTATATACTTGGAATGGGCTGCGGACATGTAAGGGGTATGTTACCGGATCAGAAAAACTAAACGACTTCAAAGATCTCCCCGGAAGATCTATACCAAGGCTGTGGGTCGATCCTATCTGATTTTTTTGTGTTCAGCCAGCCACCGCCCCTAGCCCTACAAGTAGCTACGAGTCACATGACTCAGGGTAGGGATTCATAAACCATCCCATGTGAATTAAAAGACCTCTTCATGTGGGGGTCTCACAAGTATCAATCCAGTCATAGCTTCACCCTGATCATGGCAAATTCCCTCTTCCGATGGAAGCAACATGCAAATCTACGTATTATAGTATCATGTCCCATGTTCTTCCGAACATCACAGGACAAACCCGACCCATCAGTCTCGAATCCGATCCAAATTCAGGGTTTGGAAGATGTCCAATTCCTAAAAGTCCTATTCATAAAGAGGTTGACCATTTCTATCCCTTTGTGGAGGCCCGGCTGCTTCTTCTATCCTATCTGTTACGTTGGCGGCTTGTTCTTGTATCCTGAGGTCTGTGCAACAATGGTTGCAAAATGTTGTAAAACAAACACTTGGACCATCTTTGCCCAACTTCGGTACCTGAAGAACCCACACAGCCACAATGCTGTGCACTGTAACGAAAAGAACTGCAGGCAGCAAAAACACGCGGAAAACCATGTTCGATAGACTGACTGGTGCTTAGTAGGGAATGAGGGAAGTTTGCCCCCAATAGAGATTCCTTTGGATCCAGCCACCCTCATTCCCTACTTTCGTCGCACCAGTCAGTAGATTCAGTGACTAGATGCGCCTTGGATACCCAAGAAGGTTACTGGATGTTCCTGTGAAGATGCGGAGGGCGACGGTGTGAGGAACTTGGAGGACGAGGACGGAGGGATGTGGACGTGAGGGATGTAAAGAACGTGAGTGATGTAGAGGATGTTAAGAAGGTGGACGTTGAGGACGCGAGGTTTTTTTTTCCTTCCTGGCGAAGGCGTGCCGCATGTCCATGGCCAAAGAAAGTTCTGCCGGCAGGTGCCCCCCCCCAAAAAAAGATTGATCCGCAATGTCCCCACATCGATGAAGGCTCACAGAAGGCTCACCCCCATTCTTTCTTGTCGATGGACACGGAAGAAAACGCCGCAAAAACTGAGCGGATTCGACATGCCGGTCGACACGGGCCAACACGGGCGACGGCGGGCCACGTAGCTTGCGATCAGCATGGCGCTCGCCCAGAAAGGTGAACGTGCCTGGAAAGGTGGCGTGCCAGGCAGGGCGAGTTTTTTGAGACCCTCAAGCATAGGTCAATATGATGTCAATAATATGCTATAGAGCGTAGGTAAAGGCCTGAAAATGCCCTTGGAGGTGTTGAGGATTGTTGAGGATTGATGTTGTTGTCCTTGACATGAAAGGATTTGAGGTTCCATGTTCGTGCCAAGAAAGAACATGAGATCCTATGAGATCCTCATTCATGATCCATTGCTTTCAATTTCCAAAATTTGTATATAAACATTACAGTACAATATAGTTACACTCCGATGAACACATCACATGGAAGTGGAACACCCAATGTTGGTAGAGGAAAGTTGTCGTCTTCAGGGACTATGAATTTTCCACTTCCAAGTCTGACTTGGAGGGTAGACCCTAAAGCACCATTGCTCTGCAACCCTTCAGCCTTCATTGTTGAAGTTGTAGAGATTCGGCTCCTCCACAAAGTAAGTGGAATTAGATGGAATTAGATGGTGCGCACATAGTATGTGTGCTGTATCTGCCGAAGTTTGTGGACAACACCCAAAGTTTGTGAGAAGCCATTGGCTTCTTGGAAAGGTCACCAGATTGGACTGGCAAAAAAACAGGAATCACCTCCCTCGAGGTGTGTATACATTGCACCATCTTTCCAAATGCTTTGGAGGCGGGCACCCAAATGGGCACTTGAGCGAGCTGAGGAGCTCGCCGTCATCGTGCATCCGAATGCATCGAGCATGTACGGCCCAAGGCTCTCAGCCCCAAAATCATCTCAAAAAAGATGTCCACGACACATCCAACGGCCAAAGGCTCTTCCCTCGTCAAATTTATCAAGACTTGCCGGACGTCCTCTCACCAGAATTCCTTTGGACACTTGCTGTGGACTTGCTGCGGACCCAATGCTGACTTGCTGTTACCGTACCCTGAAGCTCTAACTTGTTCTTGATCTACAGTCAAATGAGCTTGGCGCCACGCTCCAAATTCTGATTCTGTCCTTCAGTGACTTTAGTGGGTACAAGGATTTAACATGGGATGATGTATTTATCTGCGGTCCACCGCCGCAACATTTCGCAAAACTTTGCAAATCAATGCATAAACCCAAACAACTACCCAAACAGCCGAAAAGCGTGAAACGCTTTTCAGCAGGCCTGGCCCAACACCATCTTTGATATTTGGCCGTTTGGGTGTGTGTTAGAATGTATTCGAAGAGTCAAGCCTGCTGGGCCCATGGGTCTTGCTTGCATGCCTTTCTTCCCTATTGGTCGGGTCCAATTGGAAACTCTTCCTGTGTTGGACACCGGAAGAAACGCCGCCCCCCCGGGCAAGGCGCCTGCGGCTGAGACAAGCGATCGCATTCCACCTATGGAGAGAAGCAAAGATGGCTGGTTTCTGCGGTCTAACAGGATCAGACTCAGGATCAGTTTAGTAGGTCTTTCCACCAGTTGGGGTGCTTGAATCAAAAGAGGCCCTCCGTTCGGGAAATGACCTACACAAAGGAGTTAACCTAAGAATCCCTGGGCCCTCCATTAGCCAAATAGCGGGAAGTGTCTTGTTTTCCCCCGCTGGGCCTGTGGAAGAATCGAAGCGAGACGTCTACACACCATGCAGTCACACCAATGGTTGAAGCACAACTAACCCAGTGAGGTCATATTGTCTAACAAACGCCTCAGCGGCAGTGTGAGAAATCACGCAGAGGTTGATGAGAATCAGGCACGGGCACGAATGTGTATGCGATCGTTTGCAGGAGGGCGAGCAGTATAGTTTTAGCTCATGTTTCTTTGTTGCTTAATGCTAGGGCATGGAATGTCAAAGAATGAGTGCCTGGAACAGGCCAAGTTCCACAGGCAAGCTTGGGTTGAAGCACTGCTCTGCAAAAGTGAACCAAACACCTCAGAGAAGCCTTCTTGAAGGCTATTCCTTTCCTCTACCAACCCTTGATCAACTCGAGAGGCAGTCAGCCTCCAAGAGATATCCCAAGGAGGTGGCAATGGTCACCAGCAAAATGATGAAGAAGACCACCAGATTCACCTCGCCAGTCCGAATGATGGTCGGAGAGTGCCGAAGGATCAATCTGGGTGCGTTGGAACAATGTTGGAAAATGCAAATCCTCCAACCTTCAGAGACTCAGATTACATGTTTCCCCTGATAGCTGCAAGCTATAATGGGCTTCTTGCTTCTCAATCGTGTGGCTCTGGATCGGCGTCTGGTTGTTTCATGTATATAAACATGTAACAAAAAACACATGCAATCCTCCAAAGCACTTGGCTTTAGTATATGCTTTAGATGGCTAGGGTCGGAGGTCTGCCATTGTCTCACACCCACGCGATCATCGTCAAATCAAGAGGGACACTGCCTACCAGGAGAGAGCCAAGGAAACATGGGATCCACACGATTTGTTGAAAGGACGGTATCCGTGACCCTGCTTTTCTACCAGGCTCCTATAAATCCTCCACCAGTCAATCAAGATTACCAACCATTTGCTAGAGTCGGGCTAAGGTATGGCTAAGTATGGTTACTGCCCAAATGCTCCAAACAGGCCTTGGTCCCTCAAAACCATAGGAATTTGAGGGTCCGGACCCCGCCATATGAGATATATGGCACCTGCTGAACGGAGGGTCAGCGTCTGGGTGAGTTAAGTGAACTCGCCAGCGTCCGTGGGGTCCCAAGATTTGCCAAGCGTGGCTACTCGCACCAGACTCATCTTTCTTCCATCCTTCGCTTTTGGAACCATTTGATGTCCTTGTCATCCTCTTGTTTTTTTTAGATCTTCCAATCACTCATTTTTCTTTGCTCCTTCTCCGATTGACCCACAGGGACACGTTCGCGGACTTCGGCGACGCCACGATGCACAACGCCACGGATGGTCGCCTGGGTCATGGGATTGCCTTCCAGCTCGGGCGGCGCGTTGAAGTCAGGCTGTCGCAAGCCGGCATAGACCTGGAGCGGAGGTGCGCAGTGCGGATCTGGACGTCCGCGGGAAAGGGCGGAGCTGGACCTGGACTGTTCATGTCTTTTATCGCTGGATCGTGTTTCACGGTCTTTTTCAGGGGCAAAGGCTGAGATTGGAGGGTGCCACGAATTGGTTTCCAAGGCTTTTGGCACATGGACACAGCTTAAGATGTTGCAAGGGAAAGGGTCTTCATAGGGGTTGATTGTGTTATATATATATATATTGTGTTCCATGTCTGTTGGCTTTGTCAGGTCTTTTCGGTCGCGTTTCACTAATCCAAGGAAAAGATTTGGATTCTGCGTCTGTTCAACTCTTGCCAAACAGAAGTGATGTATATAAATCTGGTCACTAGAAGCATGCCACGGCATTGAGGAAGCACTTCCCAGTTGAACAATCCGACGGGACTGCCCTACTGACGCCCTGCTGCAAGAAACAATGACAGCATGGGCAGCATGGGTATGAATACCAGGGTATGTTTTAAAATCATGGAGCCTTCTTGCATTGACCATGGGTCAAGAATGGTCTCCTCGATGATGTCGAGATTTGCATGGATTCTGTTGGTGTCTCCATATGTGTCTCCCATCTAATTTGACCACATCCTCATCTGTAGATCATGTATCCCTAAAACTCCAACTACCTCCTGAGAAGGTGGTTGGGGTGAGTTTCGGGAGTCTAACCACCTTCTGAAGATATGGCTGCAGCCCTAGGGTATGAGCATGGTCCATCTCGTCACACAGATTTGTGGATTAACCTGGAAGACCTCGAGCTTAGGACCTTTCCAACCCTGATAGGTCCCTGTATCCCCTGTGGCGTGGAAAAATACCTTTGGACAGCCTAATAAATAAACTCCAAGTGGTCCTAAGTAGTGCGCAACAGCAAACTCTACCATGTTAATTTTGACACTGATTATGATATGTGAATATATATGATACGCAACAGCCAATTCTCTACCAGGTCGACCAGGTCTCATCGACAGCCGGAATCACCCTCGTGTTCGGGGCTAGACCTTGGGGGATCTCATCTTGAGGTTTCCGCCGGATGAGTCATCCGCACTGCAACATCCCAGAAAAGCAAGCAGTCGGGCGCGCCAGGCGAAGCATGGGTTGACAAGTGCCATGTACAGAACCATTGAATTAAGGAACAAAATAGTCTTCCGGACTTCATAATCAAGTGCAAGTGACTTTGTGGCTACAAACAAACCAAACCGCCTGTTTCACTCAGAACCCCCTTTCCGCCCAACCTCATGTAATCGACTTGGCCGTCCTTGATAAGTCTCCGTCTCCCTCCCGCTCCTCATGCATGCCCTTCTCAAAGGGTTTCAGCTTCTGGTCCATGGTCGCTTTCATCTTCCCTGGACGAGGTCCATCGGCCATCGTCGAGCGTATACTCATCCGTCGTCGCCCCACCCGACATGCGACATGGACGAAGGCCGACCGAGAAGCCGAAACCGATCTATGGGATCTGGAATAGTTTGCATACAACGAAGTCGCACATGGGGTATGGAGTAGACAATGGAGTAGACGTATCATGGCGTATCTCTTCCACACATGAAACATGATCTGGAAAATCTTCTTCTTCTTGCACCTGCCCCAACGAACCCATTCGTTTTCTGGTGGTTTACTGGCAGTGCCATGAAAAGGCTCGGGCTCGACTGAAGCGGTGTTGGTCGTTCGAATCGACCATCTGAAGGCATTTCGGCGGTTGTTTTCTTCTCCACATCAATGAGATCACATGAGATCACCTCAATGAGATCATTGGGGGAGGGTCAGCAGTCAAACCCCAAATCCTTTCGAAGTTCAAACGCTCAGCAGCAGTTATTTCTGGTTGAAAGACATCAAGCAAAAGCTTTAAACGGTATAGAACTGCAAATTGGGCTTTTCATGGCTTTTCCATACTATGCGTGAGATAAGCTAACCAGGCTTACAAGCACTCTCACAATGATCAACCGCTACCAGTACCATCATGTTTCATCCACCATGTCTCGGTAACACCGAATCAACACCGGTTGCTTAAGCCCTTTCAGATCGCCGCATCTTCTACCCAGCAGCCCATCTGCTTCTCCATGCTGTGGATGCCTGGCCTGAGCCACCCATGAGTGGGAGCAGGTCAAGACTAAGTTCCCCAAGATGCAGCAATTGGCAGTTTCAAGGACCCACAGTCGAGGCCGTCAAACATGAAGCCAATTTGGTGCCCTTCTCTCAAACGCAAATGTTTAAAAATACACACATCACACAACCTACATTGGGTAGTCTGTTGTGAGGACTCCTCTTAGTTAACCCTTGAAAGAGAACCACGTATGCTTGCTCTGAATGCATCCGTTCCCTCGTCCCGCCAAGGCACAGCCAGTCCAAAACACTCGGCATCTTGACCTTTGGTGCGGGAGGCCTCGGTGCAAAACTTTGTCACTGGCTATCCCACGGAAGCCATGACGAGCATGGTGGAGTTGTTTCCGGAAAAGGGAGCACCCCTCGGAAAAGGGAACTCAACATGGGACCATGGGTGGTTTGGGGTGTGCAGATAGCGCCAAGCACTGGGGATCTGTGAGTTCCAGTGATATGATATGAAATATGGGCGGTCTTCAGTCTTCCGGAAAGATTTCGGATACCCTGCAACTCCGAGTAGCAAATAGTTGACTCTTTTCCCATGAACTGGACCTCCCAAACATCTGTTGTGCCTGATAAGAGATTCATTGGTGACTTTCTTGGTTGCAACTGCCCTGAGTGGCCTGAAGCGGTTCTCTATGGCGGTTCTGATGCCATGCCCGCAGGAGCTTCGCCGCTTCGCGGGAAGCGGCAGAGGTTCGCGGCGAGAGCATCTCTTCACAGCGAGAAGTGGCTGAGGGAAGTGGGACGGCCGTTGGCTGGGATTTGCTATCCAGGAACCGGAAGAACGGATTTAAAAAAAACAACATATTCCTGAGAAGGGGACATAAAACCAAGCAAATCCAGGCCCAAAGCTGACGGGCCAAAGGACCTTGTGCTTCCGGTCGTCTTGAAAAACGGATGGAACCTCTCTGGAAATATGGAAACAACACTCTGAATAGACATATTTAAGATAGATTTGTATTTGCTGCTGCTACTGGTAGTTTGCATTGCTATACAAATTATTCTCAGTTGGCCCATTAATCCACAGTCTCTTCATCTCGGCCAGCCCCAGTCTAACCAGTCTCAAAAACCACCGCCATCACGGGATCCCGTGCACCAACTTCCGTGACGTGTCCATCCCCTTCTGCGCCACAGCGTCTGGGTGGGCCGCTGCCCATTAAAACTCGAACCCCCACCGCAGGTGCAACAGTTCCTCAGACCAGTCGGTCGGACCAGTCGGTCGGTCCGCGCAGCTAGGGCGTGTAGCGGTCCGCATGGCCACATATGGAGTGACTCAGTCTGTGGACTCAGCCCATTAAGAATTAAGAAAGCCCAGCCCACCCCATTTGGATTGTAAACCGTCTTCTATATATGGGGGGTTGTTAATCAGCACGAGTACATGGTTTGTCACTGGCACAAACCGGACAACGGGATGACCCAAAAATCCAAAGCACACGGAACACGACGACAGGATCCTTTTAGCCGGTAGGGCCGGTAATGTGGGTCTGTTCATCCCATGGCACTGCTGAGACAACAAAGTCTATCCCTAGGGATCCGTTTTCGTACCGAACCTCAGGTACGGTGAGGACGGAGACCATTTATGTAGGTGCCAGGAAGGGCCCGAGTCGTACCTTCTGAGAAGGTATGTGGATCCCTAGGGTATGATTCGTTCAGTGCTTGGAGAACTCCCGTCATCTCAGGCCGCCGACCCGGCCATCTGGATACTCCCTGGAGACTCCCGACCCGGCGACCCGGCGGCCGTCGCGAGCCCTGAAAAGACGTATACTTTATGATTTCATGTTGATCTTTCTCATCACCTATATAGAGTGTAGGAAACCCCTGACTTAGTTTCATTCATCATGTTCACTCCAATTCATCATGCATTCATCGACAATGCAAATGGGCTGCGCTCAAAAGCACTGCAGATATCTGCAGGAGTGAACATGCCATGGCTTCTCTTTTTGGGGAAACCACCCACCCGCCGTTTTCGGTCCCTTCACCGAACGGTGTTCCACACCGTCGCTTTTTGGTGTCGTGCACGTGTCGTGCACCGGTGCACGAGTCGCGAGGGGTGGCCCACCATTGTTCCTTTCAAACCCAAACACGACCTATGGGACTGGCATATGTTCCAATCAGTTGGGGTGGTTCCAGGGGTCAATGTAGGCATATATGGCAGTCCCATGGAGTGTCTGGGAAAGGATGTAGTTCAAACCCCAGGAACCGTTTGACTCATGACGTGATTCCACCAGAGAAGGGACTTCCTGTGGTCTGTGTTTTTTTTGTGCAACCGGTGGTCGAAGATGACAGCCAAGTGATGAGGAAAAAACCGATCTGATCGAACCTCCAAAAAAGGTCGTCTAAACACTTCAGGCTCCATGTTTGTCTTCCCGGGTGTAAACACTTCAAAAAAAGAGAAAGGAACCACAACCTCTAGATATTTTCAACTCCACCTGAAACCGAAGGAAACCCAGGAAAACAGTTCATGGACATGGACGCATCCGTCAAATGGGATAAGCCACCGATAGCCGATAGCCATTATCCGACATCTCCGTAGACATTCATAGGTATAAACAAAGATCACTTTAAATGTCTTCAAATGTTGAACATGTTCTTCATTCACAACCAAACCCTATATATGATTCGGGCAGCCAAATCCTTTCTGGAACCCAGTTGGGCATCCAGAGGCATCGGGTCAACCGTGAAACAGAAAGGTCCCGCAACGGCATCCTCTGGCCCGACCGCTCCGATCCTCTGTCCGAGTGTCATCCAGGGATCCTTCATCCCTTTCTCACAGAAGCTGGGATGCGCCTGGAAGGCTTGGCACGGGAGACGGACGTCGGGAAAGTCGAGCCCTTGATAGGAGCTGAAGGAGCATGAACAGTTCATTCGATGCGGTCACTGGAATATTCCATCCCTGACCCACAACGTTGTTGTGTTTTTGTCAGTCTTGCCGACCTGAAAATACGAGGGATTTGCTGCCGTTGCTCCTGGCACGGGTTGGTTCCTGTTCATTTTGTTCGAACTGCAATGGAGGCTCCCAACATTGACAAAACAAACATGCGCAGGGGACGAGCACTTTGCCAAACAAGTCGAGTTCTTTTTTTAAATGTGCTAGGGTTCTCGGGGAGGATGTGGCTAAACATCTGTTGATTAGAACACATGGACATGAACACGAGTCACGAGTCACCCTGCCGTCATCTGTTCATGCACTTGTCACTTGGCTCCAGCATACATCTGGGTGATAGGGGCTCAACAAGTTCAATGCCCAACAAAGGCCAGGCAGTTGCGGCAGAAAACACCACCAAAAGAGCTGGCAGCTGCAATGCGTTTCCACGTGTTCCACTGGGTCGGCCTTGTAGAAGTGACAAACCACGCCATCTTTGTGACAGTCCGGGTCCACAGGTACGTAGTTGTTACCTCACAGCCATTCGGCACAAACGTGCGGCAGACTGGTCTAGGTCGGAGCCTTGATACCCGAGCCACGATCGTGGCTCTCCATGTGTTGCACGGCATGTGATTGAACGACATATAACCAAGTGGATGTTGACCTGCATGGGTATATGACTCCTATTCTATGGTCATATATATTATTCTATAATACAAGTTTTTATAAAATATATACTGTAACCTCCACCCCACATCACCCCGTCCCTCCCCACATCGCATGGCATCAGCTATGATGCTCACTTTCGCTTATCGAAGTCGTTCTCCTCCCAGTCGCCCCGGTCGTGGCTGTCCAGGTCCACCGATACTTCCGTCGTGCCCTTTGTTGAACACCGGACGGTGCGCATCGGACGGCCGGAGAGGCCACATGGTGCTCCCGGTGCTCTGAGATAACCTTTGGATACCTTTGCCCGTAGAATGCAATACACCTCCCCAAAAAGAAGAACAGCCCGACTGCTGTAGTGGCATGAGGCTACCAACAAAAATGGCAACCTTCAAACAGGTAAGCCCATTCCAGGACTTTCCTGGTGAGCTGTTTCATGAATTGATCCCTCCTCAAAAAAAAAAACTGAAAAACCCTTCGTCCCCTGCAGTGTCGGGTCGTTTTTTTTGGGGGGGCCCAGTTCCACCTAGTTCAAGAGAGTGAAGCCTGCGGGTCCAGTTCCTCGCGTAGCGACCGGGTCGGAGTTTGTTTGACCGGGAGGCATGCAGTATATCCATTCGTCCAGCCAGGCGTGTCCTCGCAAGCCTGGCACATTCTCGGTTCTCCGACATCCGAAAGCAGTTCGGGGATCCAAGATGCTCCCAAGAAAGGGAAAAATGCCTCCAAGAGATGCTTTTGGGGAAATCCTCCAAGATTTGTTTTGTTCTTGAAGAGATTCCACCATGAAAGGAATCCACCAAACAGAAGTCCGCTGCCACAAGAGGGCGAACTGACTCTGCCTCTGAGGAGTTTGTTGCTGTCGCGAAGACGGTGTTTCCCAGCAGTTCGGCCAGCAAAAGAGTTCGGCTGGCAAGGGCTATACCCACCATGGCATGAATCCCCCAGCCACGCGCGTGAAGGTGTCAAATGCTGTCAGTGGCTGCTTGGAGCGTCTGTGCCAGTCAGGCTCTTGATTGGTAGCTGAATCAAAGGTATTCAAGAATCCAACTTGAGAAGATGCCAGTCAGGCTCTTGATTGGTAGCTGCGTCCAGCAGGTATTCAAGAATCCGACTTGAAGTCCTTGTGACCACTTGATGGAATTGGTTTTCCAGCTCGCTGGGGCGACCTTGGAAGAAGCCTTTTTCAGCATCTGTCAGCCCCATCCGGGGCAGAGAGGGTGGAGGATGAAAGGGTTGGATCCTTCGTTTGCGAGTACTACAGTAAGTTGTGCATGATGTTTGCAAAAGAAAGTAGATCCTGTGGTTGCATTGACCTTTACTTTTGTTTGACCTCTGGATAGCTACCACCTAAAGTTCTATGATGCGATCTGCTTGCAGCTGCATGCCCCACTCCAAACGTTTCCTGTGAGCAAAAGCTGCAAATTGACTTTGGATCTCAATCACCCCAAGTGGAGTGACTGGAGTCCCAAAACGCTCCAGTTTCATCACTTGGGTGTGGCTCAAACAGGTTGCAGTCCGCTTTAGATACACTCCCTGAACTAGTCATGGAAAGTGGATGTTGTGGCCCCCTGGATGACCGTTGTCCTCTACAAACAGGTGGTTTTCACCTTCCATGAAGACTTCCAGGATTGTAATATATCTTTGTCTTTTTACCCTTAGACTTGGATTCTGGATGGTAACCTATCTGGGTGAGCCCTGCACCACTGACACTGGGGGTACATACTTGTGTCATCTTGTTTCGACACTCACCAGACTCACCACCCAGTACCAGCACCAATCCAGCACCACTAACCAGCGTTCGACTACACTCACCAGCACTAAAAATAATAGCAACAGGCAACCAGCACCACTAATCAGCATCTTGACCTATAAAGCTGCTTGAAAAATGTTGGTTCCTAGACCAGTAGTAGCTTGGAGGCCATTGCTATTGGGGTGGAGGCCATTGCTAGTAGGTTGGAGGCCATCGCTATTGGGGTGGAGGCCATCGCCAGTAGGTAGGAGGCCATTGCACTTGGGTTTTAAGGGACCAGGTCGCTCTCAAAGTTCGGGACAGCTTTCTCCGAGTTCCATGGAGTCTTCCCGGGCAAAAACACCATCATCTCTCAATCGATGTCCAAGAAGGACTTGAAGACCTGAAGGGGTTGAATACTGTACTTGGATGGACTGATTTGGTTGAAGTGGTTGAATACCTGTTGGCTATGGGGGGGTGGAACGTGGTGGTGAAAACTGTTCGTTTGGATCCAATGGGATCCATCCCGCCGGAGTGTGTTGCGCCAAGGCTTTTCGCCATGGCTTTAGATTCTATCGACTCGAGTCTGGATTTTCTCTATATGAACACTCCAGCCCAACTAGAATTAGATGCACAACTCTCTCCAGCCCAATTCTGTGAACACCCACAGATCCAAGCAGTAGTTACCATCGACCTTTGAATACTTAGCCTTGCCGATCTAGTGACCTAGCCTTGCAGTCTTGCAACACGTAGTTATAGAGTGAATACAGTACTCTCTACAAAGGAAAGGAGATGAACAAAGGCTCAACCACACAGGACCCAGGACATGGCATCCACAAGTCACAGAGCCCGGAACCCAACAGTACGAATTAATTCCAAAGAACCTCCCATACTCCTCAGGTACTAAACATAAAAGGAACCTACTTGAGGATTGTCTAGTGTCCCCATCCTCGTCACCTCTTTCTTGAACTCTGCGAACGCCTGTGCTTTCCGGAACACACCGGCTTCACGCGCTCCGGGGCTGGAAAACGTTGAAGAAAACCATGCGTCTGAGGGATGGTTCAACCTCGCGACACGGAAGAAAGCAAAAACCTGGAGTATCAACAGGCGTGAAGTTCCATAAGTTATAGCGTGGAGTGTCTAATCCATGAGTCAGCCCTTGGAAGGTACTGGGAGCCATATCAGATCATCTGCATGCTACGACACATGTGGGAAACCCAGAAGCTCAAGGCCAATGGTGACGATGTGTGGCAACCACTGTTGCCGGCAAACCCTTGACTTGAGACTTGGGAGAAACAAAAACAACCCTTCCCAAAAACAGAACAAACATGGATCAATTGAGCCCTGCAACCCAATGCATTGCGATGCTTGCCACAAGTGAATCTTGGAGGGAGACTTCTTGTTGACAGTCATTCCAAAACATTGCAACATGCTGCAAATCTTGTCAACTATTCCAAGATTCTACAACTCATTCTACATGGTGGCACCCAATGCTTACAAGCAGTGTTTAAACAAACATGCATAAGCATGCCATGCAGCAGTATTGGAGCACAAAGAGACGGACAAACTCAAACTCAAACTCATTTCGCAGCTTGTATTTGATTGCTTAGGTTCAGGATGAGATACCCGGACTGGTCCAACGTTCAGGTTGGGAATCTTCCATGAGCCGAATAGTATCAGGAGCCTACCCTCATGCACATTCCTCCATGCATTGGAGGCGAAACAACCGGCACGTAATTGCGTAAGCCATGCAATCGATTGAAGACAGGAAACTCTCCCGTGCAAGTGTGACGGCGAATGACCAAGCATGGTCTCTGGACAACCCCCAGTTCATGTTGATGGACACGTCTTTGCCGCCTGCCGCCGTCCACCCTTGTACTTTTGGGAGCGCCAGAAACATTATATTATGGATGAAGTGCAGGGACAGGGTGGTGACCCTGTAATCCGGCTGAACTCCGGCGTCCCTGAACATGCTAGCTGCCAGGGATGGTTTTCACCGTTTTGGAACCGTAGACTGCAAGGTGAATGAAGCAATGCAAGTGTATGCAATGTTGGCGAAACATCGCCCCAAAGCCTGAAGCACAACAATTCTACAAGCCAACCCCGGTCACCCATGTTTTTATTCCTGCGGCCTTTTATGCTAATAGCAGCTGCTGCAGTGCTTGCTGGAGACACCGGCCTCGTCCCTTTCAGCGCTTCTCCAACTTCGTAGGGCGGATCTTTGACGGCCGCCAATCCAACAGCAAAACACCAGGTGTTCAATCCTTTTCCCTCCTTGCAACCAACATGGAAGTGGATAGCACCCCCTCTGTTTGGTATTCGGACCAACCATGGTCTTTCCAGGGGCCAATGAACGCACACATCATTGGAAAAGACCACCCATCATGTCCGAAAACATCAGCAAATGCTCACCTCTCGGCGTGCTTTAAAACCGCGCCCGAGCTCACCGTCTTCGGCCTGTCGCGCAGCGACGCAGTGCTCAGGCAACGTGGGCTTTACTAGGAGCCACCCTATACAAACAGTGGGAGAGGGAAACTCTCCGAAGAGGGGAGCCCAATATCTCTTGAATTGAGGGCTGTATGTCCCGCCTTGATATGGCGGGTTGACTTGAAACGTCAGTTGAATGGATTCTTGGATGTATCCTAGAGCGATCTCCACATTCTCGTCCTGAAACCTACTCATTATTACATACAATGTTCATCAATGTTCACTGTTCACCCAATAACATGTTCATTGACAATGTGTGTACTTCCTAGGCCTTCAAACCATTGAGACCTGGAGTTGTACTCTCAAACCCTGATCATATAAAACACACATTCGGGATCCAACCCAATCAAATGGGGACAAAAATCCGAGGCAACAACAGCAACAACAACCACACAAGGGACGCATGCAGTGATATCTCTCGCTCCAGTCGTACCTCAGGTTCGGTATGACTGGATCCTGGCCCCGAAACACCTTTGAAACAGCCGCTATAGCCCTATAAGGGCGCCCTATATGGTATGTTTTGGGCAGGTATATAGGGCACCCGGAGCCCGGACCACCTGGTAGGTCCATCTCAGCTGGTCAACCAGGGCCAGCTCCCCGGACCCGGAGCCGTGTCGATCCCAGACCCGTGGCACCTTTCCGGTTGCGCGTTTGACGGTTCGCAACACCTGGTGTTTTCACATGAAATCATGTTTTGGTTCTCGATCTGGGGTGTTTGGAGGACTATCCTGCGCTTCAAATGGATCCCATTAGGAGCAACTCACATCGACCACGCGGGCAATGTTCCAGGGCCAAACTTCTCGTCATGCCCCCTGACCGCCACATCCCGCCGCCTCACAGGCGCAGCAACATGCCTCCCAGGGGGGAGGGATGAGCGGAGCTCCGTGGGATGTGCACACAAACTTCCTTGGACCCTTGGAGACTCCCCCAACAAAAAACGGGTGTTCACATATGTTCACTACAGAAATGGGTTAATAGGTATACCTATAGGTGGTACTACCCCTGAAATAATATGCCAAGGTTGATGGTATGTGTTTCATGGTGTTTCAATCACGCAAAGTCTGCCAGGTTATCCAATCCTTCGGTTGGTCGATGAGACTTGGTTTTGAAAAGAGTGCCTCTGTGATTGGCTGGGACAACTTGTGAACTGTCGCATCTTTTCTGGACTTTCAGAATGGTACAATTTCTAGCCATCCAGGAACATTGAAAATGACAGGTTGATCTGGTTTTGTAGAAAGTAGTAAAACAATCCCAAACACTCCATGTATGATATATCTACCTACACTGGGGTGGTTTGAGGGGTCTAATATGACAGACATGGAGTGTCTGAGAATGGTTGTTGTGTTGGCTCTCAAGTTCTTCACCACCTGGCGGCTTCAAAGGTCCAGTAGCCACACCCATGTGTCACTCGCACCCAGCAGCGATCCAAACGCACCACCAGCTGCCATTTTTGCACGAGATGCACGTCTTGGTCGACCACCCAAATCCCCGTTTTGCGTTTGAGACCTTTGTCTATGCTGTCTTTTCGAGGATGTCACTTTCAGACTTTCAGTGTAAGGCATAGTCTGTATAGTGCCACGTGTTTCGATCTCACCGACATTGACCCAGTCCGCAGTGCATGAATTCTTTGACACTGTTTCTTTACTGTTAGACGAGCTTAACCCATCATAGCCTCTAGTGAACAACCTCTCCGTTATTCCTTCTGTGAGCACC